GATATATATTACATAATGACACAACGCTATTGTGATGTTGCGCGTACTTCATGTAATACAAATTATAGAGGTTTTACTGTACATTGAAGCATTGCATGTCAAAGCATTGCATTTTAAAGCAAATTGTATGGATTTTTTTTAAATAAAAGACCTTTTCGGGAGACCTATGATTATACCTAAGGTTGGCAACTATATCTCAACTGACGAATATACGACTTCGGCAAAACGCAAAATACTTCGCACACGCAAATAAAACATGATAAAAAATTTGTTTTCAAGACTGCAAGGAAGCTGAAAAATTTGCACAAATATTTCATGGTCAGTCGAAAATTTTGTTGTCTCCATGCGGGATGCTAGAGGTTATTTCATTCGTCATATTTTGAAAAAAATTATGTGATTCAATTGGTTGAAAAAGTAAACAGTTTGTGACGTATTTATAGTAAAAATTTGGTTTCAGGGGGGGTTGAACCATTGAACTACAACAGGAAGACTGCTAAAGTACAAGAGCAATTTTTTTTCGAAGATAAAATGGTGGATTTTAACAACTTTTTACATCCATCCATAACTTTTATCCACAGCAAAACAACCAGGCAACTTTTACCTACATGTACACGTAATGTCATGAAATTCTGAGTAATAATGGCGAAGAAAATTTGTTAACAAGACGGCGATATGTGAACACGCTTCGTTGTGACTTGTGAACTTTGGTCGGCAAAGTTTATATATAGGTGAATTTATTCCGTTTAATAGTGAATGTGTATTTCCCACAATAGGCTGCAATTTGTAAGAATGCTTGTATTATTATAAAAACCCCAGCATGGAATTTTGCATTTATGTATATAAAACATTCTGAAAGTTCAATATGTATTCTATAATAAAAGCCTAAACATCTCCCTAGTTTAAACTTTAAAGTACATGTTAGTTTTTATAGTGACTGTATATATTACTGAGAATACTGTCTTACTGATATTAAATAAAACAGGGGCAAGATAAGATGCAAATTTGTTTTGATATAAAAACAGTTTTATGTACTATTTAAAGCAGTGTTACAGAATTCACTTCGAAATATTCTTGCTATATTATATATAGCTATTTAAAATTACTGAGTGACTAGAGATTCAGTACAAACACATATTTAATACTGAATACTTGATTACTAGGTAAAAATAAATTATCCAACCTATTGTTCCAAGTTACAGTATTAAAAACGCTATAAAATAAATTCATACCTATATAACTTTTCCGAGGTTAACAACGAAGCGTGTTCACATATCGCCGTCTTGTTAACAAATTTTCTTCGCCATTATTACTCAGAATTTCATGACATTACGTGTACATGTAGGTAAAAGTTACCTGGTTGTTTTGCTGTAGATAAAAGTTATGGATGGATGTAAAAAGTAGTTAAAATCTACCATTCCATCTTCGAAAAAAAATTGCTCTTGTATTTTAGCAGTGTTCTTGTTGTAGTTTAACCCCCTCCCCTGAAACCAAATTCTTACTATAAATACGTCACAAACTGTTTACTTTTTCAACCAATTGAATCACATCATTTTTTTGAAAATATGACGAATGAAGTAACCTCTAGCATCCCGCATGGAGACAACAAAATTTTCGCCAGACCATGAAATGTTTGTGCAAATTGCAGTCTTTAAAACAAAACTTTTGTGCGGGCATATAGAAAAATTATCAGAGTTCAATGTGGTATTATTTTTTATTATATATTTTATTACGTGTGCGAAGTATTTTGCGTTTTGCCGAAGTCGTATATTCGTCAGTTGAGATATAGTTACCAACCTTAGGTATAATCTGTATATATGAACAATGCTTTTCTTTGAGTGCTTGCGACGCGCGACAAGTAGCAGAGGAATTGGGTGAGCTTAATCCAAATTGGCATTTGGAAGCATTTGGTGCATTCTATACGCCGTTTTGGGCTGCCTATGGTTGTACAAAAAATATGATAAAAATCAAATTTGTCGTGTTGACATGACAACACTGACGTAAACGCGAGCCTGCGTCCAGTCACAGATTCAGTGTTAATCCATTACTAATACTTCATGTTAAATCAATGTTTGGAAAATACATGCGAGGGGTTGCTGCATGCATGTACTTCTAGTATATTTATATAAGCCTTATAAGTTTTATGCGTGGGTGCGCTGTGCGCAACGCTTCAGCGCAAGAGCCTAGCACAATTCAATAAAATGGTCCTTGATTTCAAGAAAGTTGTCCTTGGCCTGGTTACCAAGCATACCGTATTTGTAAATAGAAAATGTTATGGAAATTTTCTTTGTGTTTATAATTAAGTCATTAGTTTTGCTTTAATGTTTTCAGAACAAATAAATAGGCCACGTTTCGCTACCACACTGTCAGTAAATGGAATAACAGGCTAAGTATGACTCGTGTTTACTAGAATATGAAACTATTAAATGCTATTTAGAAGCTTAAAAATTATTGACCAATAAGGAGTTCTCGTAGCCGAGATGGCGTCAAACTCACACTTTTGACCAGTAGAATCCATTTTTGGCATTTGCCGAGTCATACGATACAAACGTCGCATTGTTTTGACATTATAAAAGTTGTATTTCCGGTTGGGATTATCTCGGACCAGAAATGTAAATCCGCCAATAAAGCATCACAATTTAAAGACCATGTAAAGCCCGTTCTGCGCATATGTTCTGCGCAGGCCTACATTCCAATGGCCAGAACTCGACCATTGGAATGTTATTAATATTTCGCACCTTTCGAACTTTCTTGAATTGAGTCTCTAGTCTGTATTCATTTGCAAGAATAATATAATATATTCAGTATAATATATATCTAATCATATTTTACAACTATAGCACTGAGTTCAAAATGTAAACATTGCGTTTGTTTACATTATTTTAATTACATGGCCTGTAAAGATAGAAGCTTGAAAATAACACTGCAAATAGTGTTTTGAATACTTAATCGAACCAGAGTATCACAATGAGCATAAGTCTCAAAGGGCTGAAATTACAGTATGTTCCGCGAAAGGTGTGTTAATGTTTATACTTTGTCAGTAATATTTCGTATTAATAAGATCATGTACGAACTCGCTTGACTTTCAAAGCTCATAAATCGCTATAATGTTCTAAAACAATCGCTACGAATAAGGAGATATTGTCACACTGAATCGAATGGTGGTATTTTTGTCCTCATAGCGATCAATGAACTAAAGATATGAATTGTCAAAGTCCCATTGCGCTGGTGCAATCCGTGTCTATACCGGTGTCGAGAAAGAGATAATAATTAAATTAACTAATTAAATAGCACTTTAAGTTTGTTTTACATCAATACCTCAAGTATTTCATGCGGCCAAAAAATTTGCACTTTTTCATAGCTGGATCCTTCTTGTAGCGTCAATCGATTCAAGTTGACGAACCGATCAATTTGCTTTTCATAACTTTCCTCGCATTTCTTCTTACTTTCCAGGTCAAGATTTCTGCGATTTGGCGTAATTCCTTGCTCACTATCGTACTTCCCAAAAGCGCTGAGTTTTCTTTCTTTCCCATACTTCAGTTCACATATTGTTGAGGTGGTATGCAGAACATGATGCGGAAGAAGCTCTTCGCCAAGGATAAGATTTAGTAAGCTGCTTTTCCCTGCACTACTTTCACCTAAAACAATGTAAGGACACGGATTGATATCGCTTTTGCTAACGAGTATAACCAGTATCACGCGAAATTTCTGACTTGCTAAATATATGATTATCGTAGTTCCGTACATGCGCAAATGATGCGCATAATTTACATCGGCTCACAAATTTCGCAACTGCCGGCTACAACAACAAGTGTTTCTTCGAAGAAGGTTATCCAAGCTGTTTTTCAGTAACATTTCTCAATACTGATACAGTACTAATACACAGAGACAGAGATCTTACTGAATGTAAGAAAGCAGAGATATGGTTAACGTTTAAAATGGCTGTTGCTTGTTTTTAGCTGACTTGCACGTAATCTCCGACTCGGTGGTAACGTATTCGAATTAATTTAAGATAGCAGCCAATAAAAGGCACAATCTAGCCAGTGCTAGTGGTCATAATCATATTTATCCCCGAGCCAACGGCATGGAGCGCCGTTCCGCGCTTAAACCCGTAGCCAAGGTACTAATTCCGCTCGGCTATTTAGGGAAAGTACATTTATTACGCCGAGGAGGGGGGCGGGGGGAGGATGAAGATGTCTTGAAACAGCTCATATTTTTACAGGGCTCCTTTTGAGATTATTGGTAAATTTTCGACGCCCCCCTATAAGTTTTTAAAATTTTCAATGTCCTTCCCTCCCCCAGAATTCGGAATTTTAATTTTAATTTTTTTTAAATTTAACAACTTTATTGGTGGCATAAATTACTTCAAAAATAATTAGTTCAATATCAATTGCCCAAAAGGGAAGGTTCGAGCGAGGCTATATAGAAATCCCATGCAAGGCACCTCCCTTCTCTAATAAGTAATAACAGATATTTATAAATACATATATACTATAAAACTATGAAAACAATGAAAGTAGCAAAACGGTCAAACAAGAGCGAATGATGATTTGGAGATCAAGCTAGTCAAATTCTCTTGCATGGAGTGATTAGTTAAGATGACGCACGAAACATCATCATCATTCCTATTTGGACGCTTTACTTCTAAATAATTGGTTTACTCTATGACCTATGGCAAGAGCAGTCCCGCACCAGACTCCATGTGCCCGTCATGTCCACGTCAAAGGTTCTGTTCAGCTCTAAACTAAATGTGTTTTTAGCCAACGTTTTAAACGCCGATAAGCTGGAAAAGTTTTGAGAAGTGGAAGTGACCATAATACTGTTCCAGAGCTTGACTATACGGTTGAAGTACGATCCTTGGAAGGTGCTTGTTCTGCAGGACGGAGTTTTTAGAGTTCTCGCTTTGCTTAACCTAGTACGTCCGTGGGTTACAAAGGAAACAAAGTTATTGATATCCAGATTTATATACCCGTGCATTGCCTTGTAAAAGAAAACCAAATCCTTTACTTCGCGAAATACTTCTGGTTGTGTATCTATCTATGTGTATTTTGTATGTGTATTTTGCGAGAGAACTTATGATGCAAAATGAGAGAGTCAATTGAAATCGAGAAGCACAATACTATAGATCAGGAGGGAAAGCCACTAGATAGTACGTGGCGTGCTCTCTTTAATGTGCAACATTAATTTCTCTTGTCTTGGATGCGCGCGCGTTAATCGGAATCACTTCACTACGTTTTGACGTGGTCGATGTGTCGTTTAATTAAATTTCAAATGACGCGAGCCAACAGATCACGACACTCTTGTATATAAAAAGAGCGTGTGAACACAGAGTAGATAAGACATACAGAGACGTAACTGACCGTTGTAAACACTGCGGAAGATTACGTTATCATGTACCCACTTTTTTTCATGCGACCGGGCGAGAAATGATCAACTGCGCATGCTCAGCAAGTTTAAAGTGAGTCGTCATCAGGTCGTCATCCAATCAGATGCATGCATCTAGTAACTTGCCGAGCATGCGCACAAAAAAGTGGGTACACTAGTTACGTCTCTGTATGTCTCTACCACAGAATAGGAAGTTATACCAGAAGCGTAACTCGAGCAAATATTTGTCCGCGTTTTTACAAGCGATTCGTCATCAATCACGCCATCTGGCTAGTACAACCGGCACTTTGTACCTACCAAATCGTGATAAAAACTTCCGGCTGTACTAGCCAGGATGGCGTGGCCTGACGTGAGCGAGTTAAAATTTTCGTGGACGTCAAACAATAAGGGAAACGACTAGAGTTACGCTTCTGGTATAACTTCCTATTCTGTGTCTCTACTCTGTGGTGTGAATCAAACAAGTCACATATTATTAGCACTGATGAAGATCCGGGCTTACGGATCGAAAGCTTTGCCTTTGTAGTAATAAATTTACGTGGTGTTTCCACAAACAAAAACAATTATATTTTATCGCAAACATTCAAAGAACTTATTATAAACTTCTTATAATATATATTTCCCACATACACATGCGAAATATAAACGACCCGCCACTCGCGAGAACCCAGTCAAGCTTGGTCAGATCAGATATTTCGGAGAGGTCGTAAATAACAGTGGGAAGGCGAAAATATTACTTGACTCACAAGTAAACGCATTAATGAATAATGTCTATTACGACGGATTTCCTCGCTGTCCTTGTAATTGTTGCATGCATCTGCAATTTTGTTAAATATTTATATATCTTGTGAAAATACCTTGTTCCGAGAAAAACCGTCCAATACCAAAATCAGACAGGGCTAAATCACCTTTCACATCAACAAGTATATTGGTCGGCTTCAAGTCTCTGTGTAAAATTCTAGGCTCTCTAGCATGTAATGCTTTCAGCCCTTCCAACACTTGACGTATCATCTTTCTAGTACGAGATTTCGTTATCTTTTCGCCTTCCTCCTTGACGAATTCTTCAAGATTTTTTTCATATAAATTCAAAATCAAATAACCAAAGTCAGGGCTGGAAGTATCATCGTAGAAATAATAATATACAACCCGTGGTGACTCGACTGCATTCGAAGAGGTCAAGATATCTCGTTCATTCTTCAACAAATTACACAGGACTTTTGGCAAACGTTTTATCGCTCGTTCTATCCCGTCAGACCCCAAGCAAACATACACCTCTGTGCCAGAACTGCCTTTGCCTATTAAGAACTCTTCTTTAAAACATACGCAGTTATCGTTTATCAATTCAGGGTTACCTTCAGCTTTTTCCCAGACTTCTGAAAGCCGTTCAAACTTCTTTCTATGCTTCACAGAGACAGTTTTCCAATATTTGTATTTTAAAGGCACGCCGTCATATTCAAAATTCAATGACATACTTCTTGTTAGTGGTGCAGTAAACGATTTGCTACGACCATGACCTCTAGGTTCGCTATCCGACCTACCATGAGGCTCGTCCGAGTTAGTTCTAGTTATAGCCTTTTTAGGGCGGCTTTTAGATCTACCGGTATTGATATTTGAGCTTTCTGCCATGACGAAAAAAATCCGAAATAGGCATCTGCCCGATTGTGATGGGCAGATGGCGATCTTTAATTAACGTTAACAGTGGTTTTTGAGGGGGAGGGGGCAATTTCCATAATTTTCCGGACTGGCGTTCATGAACGGATTGTCCAAAGCATAAAGCATTTTCTTTATCAAACGGACAGTTTTCCTTCAGTAGCATTATATCATTTATATGAATCGTTTTGTATTCGAGTGAGGACAAAAGCTACTGTCGAAAGTAAAGCCAAACTTAGGCGGCAATCATATACATCGACAAACAGGCAACAACATCATCAGAGACAATATGAGTTCTTTAGAAAGACAACTGTAAATACTGTGTCCTAAATTAGAATTACAAAATATTTGTATGTGCATGCAACTTCGCAGTGTTATGCAATATCGAACCATGAGATTGGTGTATCAGTGCGCTGGGCAACCTCTTACCCAGAATCTTGCAATGCCAACTTCGGTACTGCATAACTGCTAATTTCAGTCAAAACAATGGTCTAGTGGTTTTGACTGCATGATCGGAAAGCATGGAAAACAGTAGGATTTTCAAAACAATGGAAAGACAATTGCCACAATTGAACATTCCGATCACTGTATCATCATGACCTGATAAACAGGATGGCACTATTAGTATTGTGCAATTCTGATTTAATATCATTCTCGTCCCCAGAGCCATTTTCACTCGGTCACTCGTTGAAAATTAGGCTCTGGGTTAGACGACTGAAGGGAGAGATCTGATTGGCTTCTCAGAGAACTGCTATTTCGCAGAAGTTGAGCAGTTTTCGCTAGGCAAAATTATTCTATCAACATATGTCAACACAAATACTACGTTTCTTCATAATACTTCACTGTGAAAATTGTTACGGGTGCTAAAGCGTCCCAATTCAAGAGCATGCGCTTTAGAAAATTTGGTGTCCACAAGGGATGAAAATAAAACAAACTGGTGTTTATACTTGTAATTGATTGTATACATTCTATTATCACATGATTATATCAGTGGTTAAAAGTATATGCTGTTGAAAAACAATTATTACTCAGGGTGTGATAAATCGCGTACTTACGTACAGGAGACACGATATTAGAGACGTTCAGATTTGATGTCTTGAAATGAAATATTATTGGACTAATGGGACTAAGGAATGTTGGAATCGATTTTAGTGTTTGCGTATATGCAAAAGACGTCCCTCTCGTTCCTACTCGTAGTTTTAGGTTATACCGAAGTTCAGAAACCTGCACTTTATGTACTTCATTTTAAAGACTAAGTACACCTTGAGTCTTTGTTAGCGTAAGTGCGCGACAATAATCATTGGAGTACCAGTCAGGTACGACTAAAAATCTTCAATTATCACAACCTGCTATTACAGTTGGTTTTGACTAAAAAATACGATTACATTTGAAAATACATTCATTAATATATGTACGAATAACTCATGTTCATGCAAGGTATATGCTCAGATGAACAAACGAATGATTCAAACGCGAACATTTTATGCTGCGAATACAAAGTTAACTTGGATTAACCTAATAATAATTTTCTTTTTGCTATATATTTAATGCACTAAGAAACAAACGCTAATTTTGTTTGTGGAGTTATACTAATTCTTACGTTGTAATATTTAAACTACACTATATTATTCTGTTATATATCATTGTTGGCCACTGGAAAATTACGAGAAAAAAACAAAGAAAAATTACGTCCCAGCTTTCAGCAAAAATGATCTATAGTACTTCTTAAAGAACTGCAAAATATTCACCAGAATGTCTACCTGTATGAGTAAAAAATTGAATAGGTTAATGGTTTCCCATTTTCTCAGTGGGAATGCCGGGTGAATGTCTGCCTCGCACTACGTATCCCAAGGGTAAGAGCACGCAAATTAATCCACGCGGCCTCACGCAAAGGTCACGCAGCAACGACACAAGCCATGGTGTGCGTGCGTGTTTTCTGTGTACATGCAATGCCTTAAACTTCAATCATGCAACAATGCTTAGTTCCGTACCATCACACGTAACTGACGAGCAATTTGTTATTACTCCGGGTACTGTGAGTACCGGAGTATTAAAATGTCAGATCTTTTTTCTTAGGCGACACAACTGTGCACTTCCACAGGTGCATCGTACGCAGCGCACGCAACGCACTACAAAAATACGAATATCTAAAAATAGCCGCCATTCGTAGTAAGGTCGGAGCGAGCGTTGTGTTTACAATGTATTTAGTTCTATTTACAGTAAATATTATCAAATGAAGGGTTCTCATACACTCGTTTTTATACAGTGACCACAGTTCACATAAATACAAATCGAAATTCGAGACTTTATCGCGTGTTTAGTAGCGGTTGCCGTTATTGCAAAGCTAGTTCTGATCGACAAATGGCTTGGTTCGTCACTGACGTTAGCCTGTATTTTTGTATCTGCGCGTAGCGCAGATATATTGCTATCGCGTCAGTCAGTAAAGTAAAGTAAAGTAAAGTAAAGTAAAGTAAAGTAAAGTTAAGTAAGTTAAGTTAAGTTGTTAAGTCCGTCAGCCTTGTTTTGAAGACCTGTTCGCAGGCTAGAACAGCTTTAAAACAAGATGGCGTCTTTCGAAAAGCTTTCAAGAGTAGTATTAGTAATCGTGGTATTAATAGACTTCATCCTGACTTTATTTTGATAAAATCTTCTTCTATAGCAGTCTTGCACTGATATAACTCTTACAGTCAAACCGGATGTTCTGTTCCCATGAGTATTGCAACATTGCAATCAATCTTGCAATGTTGTTGATTGCAAATTGTTCCGAGCAAATTACACGCAAGTATGCAACTGTCATTTTTTCAAGTGCCCATCACTCCCGTGTCGGGTCAAGAGAATAACAAATCAAAAGGACTAATATCTTGCCTACCACTTGACAAATTAAAGGTAAACTGGAATGTATAGAGAATATTTATACATGGTTGTGCGAATGTGCGGAAATATGTAATATATTTCGAGTGTTGAAGAGAATATTGCTAACGAGTGAGCGTAGCAAATTGCAAGTTGTTCCATATGTGATTTAATAATCTAAATTTGTGAGTAATTAGGTCATGGACATATTGTAATTATTATGAGTACTTACTATTTTATCTTCGTATCAAACCAAATATATAGCATTGCGAGCTTTAATTGCCAATTTGTATTAAACTGTGCCAGTTTGAGAACATATTATGTTTACATATTTAATTTAACTACCGCCAAATAAATCCCTCTTTGGCACTGAATTTTGCATGTTATTTAGTATTTTTGTATCACGTTATGATTAAAATGGACATATTTCTTGAATAATACTTTTAGTCTGTCAAATGATAGGAAAAATATTAGTCCTCATACTTTGTTTTGGATTTGTTACATTTTGTGATAGATAGGGGTACCAAAGCCTTTGTATTTCCAGAGGGTATTAAAATACAAAATTAGCCTGTGACAGTATCCTCCTGATTTTACTTCATATTCGATTTGAACAACACAAGTTCTACAACAAAAACGTACACGATGTACTGTGCAAATATAAAACGTCATATTTATAGAATGATATTTGATTGACATGTTTACGCCACGCATTTCATACCGCACGGGTTTTCCCTGAGGTTTTATAATCAGGGCTTGCACTTCCGGCAATTGTTTTACGGTTGAATCTTCACGAAACAATTACAAATTTTAAATATAGACAAGCAAATTATATTTGCGTGTATATCTTGACTGTTATTTAATGGAGGCCTCTGAAACTTAGCTAAACTATAAAAACAAAGTATAGTATAAACGTAGCCCTGTTGTTTTAAATATCAGAAACTATTATTAGCTCATGACTCCATGTACAGACGTCTAATCGCACGTCTTTGAATCCACACATTTTACAGCCTTAATTAATTATTTTCTTTAAATTGTTCTTAAAAGTAATGAACTGTATCAATAGCAGATATTTAGCTCCAGATAAAAAGAAACATTTTGTATGATTGTAATCAGTTGCCGTGATTCGGGATATAAATGGTTCTCGTCCTCTTAATTTAGAAGTCACTGGTTAAATATAAATATTATATCTGAAGCAGGCATATAATTTCAACTAGCACAATTTCGCACAATTGCTGTAAAAATGTGATTCCGAGAATGCAACATCGATGCAGTAAAGGCCTGATTCCACGAGCGTTTTTTCTCGGCGAAATGCGAAACATTTCTACTTACTGCGAAAGGGGACAAAGTGGGACAATTCAACTGACAATCGCTCATGTGCAACCACCGTATTTCGCAGACACAAGTTCTCGTGACGAATTTCGCCGTCGTGGAATCAGGCCTTAAGGTCCAGACACACCGGACGCGATTCGATAACGCGACGCGATTTTTCAGTTAGTTTGAAAAACAGCCAATGAGAGCAAATCAGTGAGAAACATATGTAGACCAAGTAACTTAAAATGTTATAGCGCATCTAAATATTTGGAAAATTTAAACTTGGATCAAAGTTATCGGTCAGTGAAAATCGAAAAATCGCGTCGCGTTGTCGAATCGCGTCCGGCGTGTCTGAACCTTTAATGCGCAGATACATGTACGCGGTCGCGTACCTATTTTTCTTATGGCAGCGAAATGTATTTTATTAAATAACTCTGCGAGTTTTCAACATTTTTCGTTCAAACTTGGTCAGATAGTAGAAATAGTCTAATGCTTTCATTGAAACCAATAAAAATATTTTAGGCAAAATTAACACTCAAAGGTGTTCTGTAACACGGCACAAAACCACATGATGTATAGGTTCACTCAAAATTGGGTGCATTTGATGATGCATTATGTCAGAAGTCAGAACTGGTCTGAGTATATGGTATTATTGGTATACCTATATATATGTTTGATTGTTGGAAATACACGACAAAGGACCAAGAACAACATCTTCCATTCAAAATGTAACCATGCATGCCCAAGAACAGAATTCGATCTTGTGAATAGAACCGACGGTCCAGATTCGAATCCAGGTGTTCCCACCAACTGACCCTAATCTCATACTATGATGCTGAGATGTATGGCCAGAAAACAGGCTCAGTATATTTGAGTACCGATTTCATGACTGTGCTATTTCAGGTGTTATTCCTTTTCTTTTATACTATGAAATGCTGCATACGAATGAATTTAGTTTATACATTATTTATTTGGAGTAAGAATAATGCTATAATCTCAAATTCATGAACAATTAATGAGAGGGAAACAAAGGGAATCACAACTGCGACGGCAATTTAATTAAATTTCTTTAAATACTTATTTATTTGTGAATATATCAAATCCGACATTTCTTACTTACGCAGTTCGCGACGCCATCTTGCCAAGTGAGGAAAACACAATAGAGCAACAATACCATGTCCCTATAGGGACAAGTATTCCCACTGGGACGAGGCAATGGTTTCACCATTTTGTTGCCCCACTTTGCAAGATGGTGTCACGGACCTCCAAAGAGGCGTATTGTGCGGACTGGTTATCCGGTAATGTTCTCGTAGTCGGATTTATTTACTTATTTATAGATTTGATATTATATTATATCTCAAAATTAATCATTTATGAGTAAACTAGCCAACAATATTACTTTATTTGCCTCACATGGTGATACTAGATATCTGGTGAAGAATACTGATCCAATATAATTCAGTCCAACGACTATACAACAGATTCATGAGATGTCATTTCACATTCCCAAATTCGGATTTCGTCTCGGACTGGAATAAACTGCTCCCCCGTCCAGATCCTCATATTCGGGTTTGAAATATTTACATAACCTACATAACATACTTGCGCATATACATATCGCGCACCTGTTGCGCTAATGCATAATGTGCGTAACATTGTATTTTCCAGTATATTAAACCTTTTCATAATGATGTCAAACACGGATTTGATGGAATGTCCCACGGGACAATTTCTACAAAAATTCGCAATCTAAAAAGTTGGCAAGCAAAATTCATGTAACATCGTTTTGCGGGTTGCGCTAAAGCCCCGTATAGATGAGCAAGTTTTCCTTGACATCTTATGTTAGTTCGTGAGTGCGCCGCAAATTGACGAGTTTTTCCTTGACAAGAAGCATGTCAAGGGGTGGTGACGCCAGCTTTTCAACAATGAAAATTGTTCGTGCGTAAGGCTATCAAGAGAAACTTGACAAGTAATTGCAGAATTCGTCACTGCGCACTCACGTGCGGTCATTGCTATTTAACTGATCTCGTCTATTTTGAAATTCCCTTTTGAGGTGTCAATCTGATCTGTCTTTAATTTTGTTGGAGCTGCTTTTAAAATTACCATGAAATTGGTTATGGCTGTTTATGTACTTAAATAGCGTGTGCTCGTAAAACTTGCCCAGGACTGATTGATCGAAAAAACCGTTCGTCGGACGCATGCAGGTGTGTAACCAAACTCGTCAGGGAACGTGTCAAGGAAAAGTTATTCGCACGTGATTATCCGCATTTGACGCCGTTATGATAAAGGTAGCACGGATTTGAATAATTTAATAATCGTGTCTAGGTAAGATTGTATATATAGATGCTAATAATCCATTATTAATTAAACACGAACTGTTTTAAAACTTCGTTTCTGTCAACGCAGGTACGAATTACGAATTTCAATAATTCCCATCCGGGCGTAGATAAAACAGTAATGAGTAATCCATTTATCTATCTTTCAACAGACTTGGTATTTTCAATGCACTCAGTATCTGATTCAGTAAGTTTGTATATCTTTAGACATAACTCTCGTATGTTTTCTCCAGCGTGTTCGAGAGGGCCTGAAATGTTATCGCATTTTCAGAATTCTCAACCTCTTTTTTAATCTCATTTCCAGCCACTTCCTTCTTCTCGAGTACCAAAGAACGTTCATTGTTATTTCTGAAACGTTTATACCACGATTTTCTCAGTTGAACAAACCACTTGTACTCAGACAAGTAATTTAAGGCTTCAGTTCGAAATCTATCATGAAATATATAGTAAATAAAAGGATTGGCAGCACTATTGGCAAATATTAAAATGTTCATTGCTGCAAGTAAATCCCAAAAATATTTGAAAGTTTGATCAGCCTTGCCATAATCCATCCATAGCCACATTAATTGACTTGGTAAATTACAAATTGCAAAAACGATTGTAACCTTGAAAAACATACGGATTACTTTGGTTGTTTCTTCATTCCAAACTTCACTCAACGCAGAATTCTCACAGTTAAAACAACTTCGTTTCCTCATTAATTCTTTGACAATTTTCACGTAGGCGAACATGATTATGGATAAAGGGATGACATAAAATAATACACATAGAGATGTTGTATACACTTTTCGGAACTTTGGGTCAGGCCAGTGTTCATCGCATTGTGTACCGTCACTTCTGAGTGTGAGAGAATGGGGTACCATAAGTATGGCAGAGAACAACCATATTCCAGTGAGTATGTACCGAGCATGACATTGCGTTACCTGACGCTTCAGAGGGTGAATGATAGCCCGATGGCGTACAATACTTACGACGGCCAGGGTAAAGATAGATACTGATAAGGCAATTGTTTGAACCGGACCATAAATTTTGCAGAAGAAAGGAGCATACGGCCATTTATAATCACTGATAATAATTGGAAACTCAAGCGGGATTGTACAGGAGAATATCAGGTCGGAAATTGCGAGATTAAGAATGAATAGGTTGGTTACTGTTCGTAGAGATTTTCTCCGTTGTAAGATAAAACAGACAGCCGAGTTTCCACCAACTCCGAGTACAAATATAAGGCTATAGAATGTCCAGAGTACTATCTTAAGCCATGGTCGATGTAGTGGCGTGTTTAATGTTTCAGTAGTATTTAATGAAAGCGTCAGTGACGTCGACATCATCGCTGAACTAGAGGTTGTTACTGGTGACATTTTTAGAAAGATGCAACAGACTAGATTCTGACAGTCCTAGCTTTTATAACCACAACGATTCCTCGTACAGTTGGATTTCAGATAACTAAACAGAAAATAGGAAATGTTCAGAACAAATATACATCATTTAAAAAAATACTTCGGTTCGCAAAAGTAGTACACAACTTCGTGTTTATACATGCTTGGAGGAATAATTACCATGCATCAATGCTTTGTTGAAACTGAGAAACCGCGATGTTCAACAGCTGACATCCGATGTCCTTGTCACACTATTGAGAGCATGCCAAGATCGTTATATAAACTGTTATAATTGTCTGTTCCATTTATGGTTTCTATAAGTCCCCTGTGACATCACACATGATCATGATAAGCGACGCTTCCATGTGCACAGAAATCCATTAGACAGGATTAAATCAGCACCCAATTATATAGGATCATAATGCTTGACGCAACATTTTCACAGACACAGTGTTAAATCTATGAAAACTTTTTTATGCACGAGCCTTTGGGGTTCCCAAACTATATGTAAAACATATATATCACGTATACATATATATATATATATATATATAAATATTTATCAAGGCTGATCTTAAATTGGTGAAGAATAAAGCTGCGTGATGCCTGCAGTGAGATAATGTCTTCATAAATTAAAGTTTCATTCCCACCCACGCCATTTGCTAATACCGGTTCAAGTTTAATGTGTGCTTCGTCCTCATGGCCTCATTAATACTTGGAAGTGACGATTTGGAGATAACATACGCCGTACGGTAAATTGTTGTCACAAAATCATTTGCATACATGCATGTATAGTTGAAATTCGAGTTAACTTAGATTGAATTTCTATTTTTGGTAAAAGATAAGGAGTAGAAAGGCGTGATAATACACCAGTATACTTGCCAAAGACAGCAAGTTGACTACAAAAATCGTGATAAGTCTGATGATCAGATAGCTTCGATCTTTTGTAATCAAAATATGTGCTCTTATATCGCATCCAATTAATTGATATTATACACACAGCTTTTAAAGTTTTGTTGTTTTAAATTAAATAATACCTCTTTTGGGCAACAAATAAATTCAAAAATTCATTGAGAACTGTGCATCACGTCTGACGCAGTGACGCGACATTATTGATTAAAGAAGATTTCCCGCAATATTTCATGATATCAGTCCTTAGCCATAGAGAGAGAATTAAGTATCTACTGTCCCAATATGTAGCTTAATAAGCTTGATTATTCTATATTTGTGAAATTTTTTTCCGTTTCTTTATAACACTGATTTGCATAAATCTATAATATGAACAATAAGCAGTGGCGTAATGCACATTGGGTAGGGTTAGTCAGTCAAAAACTAAGGGCTCCCGACAGTTATATAGGGGCCCCCATCAGCCACGGCCTATCGCCTAGAAAATTAGAAAACGTAAAAAATACAGGTTAAGAATCAATGGGAAAATGCAAAATTAATAATGCTAAATAATAAAGCATCCATCGACAACGGTAGCTGATTTTTTTATTCCATCTCAAATATAACAAAGTTTTATAAATTTAAATAAAACACGGAATTTTCAGAACATTCTATAAATATTCAATATAAATATAATATCTCAGTCAAACAATGACAACGGTCAGCAGGGACCTTATGCATAATGACGTCGCCCCCACACCAAATATGCCTCCCTCTTCCTCCGTTACGCCACTGACAATAAGATATTTTTATGGCGAGAAAGCAGAAAGATCAATTTACTTCACGCACTATATTCTATGCAGAAATTAGGATTAACTGAATTAAGCTGCTAAAAGTCGGTACATGCACTTTATTCTTTAATGTATAAATATACAAGCAGGTGCAAATTTACTTCTATTAAGTTTAATGAATGCACACTGTTATAGACTCTCAGTGTGTTCAGGCAAGAACTACACTAAGATCTAAGTCTTAAATAAGCTGTACTACAAAACTAGGTTGCTTTTAAAGTATTACTCAATGTTATAGTTCGACAGAAAAAAAAACATATGGATGCCTTACACATGAATAAATAAACGCTTGAAATTCGAATGTATATGGAATTTAGATGTTCTGTTTTGCAAGTATACAAAATGAGAGTATATAGTCATAGGCTATCGGCTCGGTGTTAATAAACGGTGACTATAATTATGCATATATTTATATGAATATATAGACATCGTATTTTGCGACTGGCATCTATGTTGACGACTGGAAACGTGCTCGCGCGTAACCCCTATTTATAAATCTGAGGATAAAAAGAAATGCGAAAATTATCGTCCGATTTCAATATTGCCAATTATAACGCAAGGTCTTTGGAAGAGAGGTGTTTCGTTAATTGTACTATTACCTCTCTGAGAACTCTTTGCTTTCTAGATATCAATCTGGATTTCGCCCTAAGCATTCGACATTATCAGCACTGATATACAAATGTGCGATGAGTGGTTGCAACACATGGATAACGGAAACTGTTTGAATTGTGTAGTATTTCTTGACGTTCGAAAAGTGTTTGACTCAATAAATCATGAAATACTATACTACAAAAAATGCATGACCATTTTGGCATAATTGGCACTGAACTGGAATGGTTTAAATCTTACCTAACCAACAGGGAGCAACAATGTACGGTTAATGGCCAGATTTCATCATCTAAGAAAATCAGTTTGTGGAATCCCGCAGGGTTCGATCTTGGGACTATTGCTGTTTTTAGTATATATATAAACGATATGCCTAAATCTTTAAAATTTTGCACTTCTCCTATGTATGCAGGTGACACGGAAATTTATGCATCTGCTAAAGATGGTGACGAGCTGGTCACCAATATAAACTCTGATCTTGAAAATGTCCGTAAATGGATGTTACAAAATAAGCTTCAAATTCATCCAACAAAGACAAAACATACTGTATGTATATTGGATCGTCTTTTAATATTAAAAACAAAATTGCTCAGAACCCAATTTTAATTAATAACGTACCAGTCCCCAGGACGGAAAACTACACATGCCTGGGTGTTGACCTGCATGGAAGGTTTACTTGGGAAAAACATATAGATAATATTTGCGCGAAAGTTGGGACTGGAATTGGAATTATGAGAAGAACGAAGCCTTTTGTACCAGTAGAAACACTTAAGCTAATATATAATGCCCTGGTACAACTGTACTTTGATTATTGTAGTCCTCTTTGGGACAATTGTGGAAGTGGTCTTGGGGAAAAGCTTCAAAGATTGCAGAATCGTGCTGCGAGGGTTATAACGGGGTCTACCTTTGATATGCGATCTGTTGATGTGCTGAATATGTTAGGTTGGGAATCCTTAGACCAGAGACGCAACTATACAAAATCTATTTACATGCATGATGTATAAAATAATTAATGACCATACCGCCCCAAATTTAAAACAACTATTTCGACGATGCAGTGAAGGCGATTCCCCTTATGATCTTAGGAATCGTGAAACTGATTTAGTATTACCAAAACCAAAGAAAGAATTTCTTAAAAGAAGTTTTAAATACAATGGAGCTATTCATTGGAATAATCTGTCTATTGAAGCAAATAGCGCTGATTCCGTTTATTCATTCAAGAGAATTATAAAATCTACGGCGAGGTGAAGCTGACCTGTCCTCAATAATATTTATTTGTTTCGTTTATATATTTTTGTCTACCTGTTAGTCTTTGTATGCTTCATGTAACTTTAATTTGTGCATATTATTTGTGTAATTTGTTAGTTAACACGCCCCTCGTGAAAAACAGCTGATGTTGATGAGGCTAGCGTGTCAAAATAAAGTATAATGTATGCATGTATGTATCATATATTCAGGTAAACCAGAGTAGTAAGCGAAAACGCCAAACTTTAATTTAATTGTTAAGACTGGTGATTTAGTGATCAGAGTATGTCCAGGCTTAGATATTATCTATTATGTATAGTTGAAAAGATCACGTTTTGTGGTTTTCGTTGATAGATCACACTTATAACACACTTAAAGATTTACTACGAATGACGTCAAATGCTTATTAGGGAGCTTAAGCATGCAGGACGGCAACACGACGACGACGACAACCAATACAATGAGTCAATGAAAAGAAATAAATAATTAAAGTCCCAGGGGAGTTTCAGACGTGGTCATGCAGTCGTTCTGTTTACAACGGCAAATCACAGATTTTCACGTCTTTTGTACAACGCCTGCATTTCAAGACGTGACAAGTGCAACTTAAATTCCGTTCAGTAGAACTCTTCCCAAACATAAAGCCAATGTTTTCAACTTCTTATACTGTATTAAATTCATACGAATTATAAGATACGACAAGTTTTCTTTACTATCATTTATTTGAAGGAATTTGTTTTGGCCGTCGTCATCGTGTTGCCGTCCTACATGCTTAATTAAGCTCGCTAATGTTGTATACTCAGCCTAGACCTTGGCCTTCGTTTCTATTTTTATTTTCATATTCAGCGCTTTTTCACATGAGAAGACCTAGGCGATTTGGGGGCGGAGGAAGGGCGAAAGCAAGGCACCTTGCTCACAGTTGCTTTAATTCCGCCTGTGACGTCATGCTTACCAAATGTTAGCCCAAAATTGACCAAACCTACAACCAGGAGCAAAAATTATTGAGACAACCGCATAAGTGCCCCCCCCTCACCCCCAATTCAATGTTGTGTGGATGACTGAAAAGAGAAAATTCAACCCACTTTTTCCAACATTGATCATGGGGACAGGGGGGAGGCCGACATACTTTAAAATGGCCAAAAATGTGAAAAGTCTCATTATTTTTGCACGCGATTGTAGGTCTAGCATGCCTGGAGCTCTTTACATTATGACGTCATCAAGAGCATGCATTAAAATTTTCTTGATGAATGCAGTATGCATGGATTTTTACTCATGCATGCGTCCAGGCAACCCCAAACGCGTGAGGCGGTAGGGGGAGGGGGGTAGGAGGGTTCAATCGTTGAATATAGAGCTAGAACTAGGGGGTCCGTCCGTCCGAGGGGTTGGTTCCCCCGAAATGTTTTTTTATTTTAATTTTATTTTAAATTTTTTTTATTTCATGCAGTTTAGGCATGATATACCGATATATTTGATATATTTTATGTCAGTCATAGATGAAAGCATACTAAGCATTACGCCGGTTTATGGCCCTCCAGTTTCTCCTCACTTCTGAGAGAATTACAAAATTAGTCCTGAAGAAAAGTGGGGGGAAGGGGGATGGTCGGAAGGGTCAAGATACTCCATTTCCCCCGTGGCTACGCCCCTGACTGTGTCATGCTATATAAGCACTCTTTAACGCGGAATTGATGAACTGAAAAAATGTGAGAGAATATATATGAGATATTGGTTTTGATGAACTCAAAAAATGCGAGAGAAAGACATGATGTTGACTTTCTAATACTGCCAATTTTTCTTCCAAAAGCATGCAGAGCCAGAGAGACGAAAAATAATACTACTGACAGAACTGTATTATTGCGCTTTTTTTGCATACGTGCAGTGTCAGTTCAGTTATACCGCTAGCTAGGTAGTAAATTTATAGTTTTATGCGAAGCAGACGTACCTACTGATGAAATATATTTACCCACAAGAGTGATTCGGTTGTCCAAATGTCAGAGAGTGCTCAATATCATACAGGACAAATAGTTTAGAGATCACGATATGACGGATATGTCTCAGTGTGAAATTATTTGTTGCGACTGACTGAAGATTTCGAGGTAAGCCCACTATACTTAATAAAATCGAGGCGCGTGCTTTTATGGTGTAATAATGCACGAGCGGTCGGAGCGGAATGTTTAGAGAACACGAGAAAAGTGTGTAAAACTAGTCGAGACGATAGCTGAATGATTGATCTTTCAAGAATTCTCAAAATGATTATCCAAATTCTCAGACATATAGCCACTTGAGTTGAGTTCCAATCATGGTATAATATGTTTCATAGAAAGATATTATACGTTTGTTGAAGTTTACATATACACATTTTCATTTTTCAATTCATGATAATTACTGGTTGTATGCGTATACATACAGTAACATACACTATAGCTATAGTGCATGTATCTAAAGACTCTGTAACCGAATGGCGATCCTTCATTCCACCTCCAATCTCGTATACCCAGAGCCATGTTCCGCCTCATATAAACACCCTATAACAAGGACAGTTCGCGTTCTGTACAAAGCAGGAAAGAGGGGCAACATTATAGGTCATAACTAGACAAGAAACCTAATATATTATTAAACTTACAAAACGTTATCTTTTACTAGAATGATAATAACTATATTATGATCTAATATTCCTACTCAGTACAGTTATTATATAAGCTGAGAGAACGAATGAACAATGCTTACCTTGGAATAAGAAACCAAGATTTGCGGATTCTGACACAAACCCAATATTGAAATCAGCTGCCAACTGTATATTCTACGCCAGGCATCTTGAATTCTTGATTAATTAAAAATAGTAGTGATTCTGTATAATCAGTATATACGTAAGTATACCGCATATATAAATACACCTGCACATATCATATCAAGACTTTATATTAAACAGTGAAACTCACTTTTGTAGATTTGAATTATGTTTACACAAGGCCGTTGAATAAAACCGTATGAGACTTATGACGGTTTTCGCTTGACGTCGGAAGAATGGGAAGATCTTGTATATTTATATATTATTGATGCAGGAGTTGCCTCAATGTCAAATATTTCTCATGACAGCTTCAAAATTACTTTTAGTTTTACACGTGATGTTGTACAATCTATGCATATAACAATAGAACAGTATAGTAATAAGGAAAATATATACAACATAATATCTTATTATATTTGAAACTTTATCCTCAGAAAACTGTCTGCCACAGTAAATACGAGTAGTATATCCGGTTATGTGTTATTTTACAATTCCAATAGCGGTTCAAGTGTGGATTGACATTTGTCATAATGAAGCTTCGGCAATAACATGAACTTGTATACATGTGCAGTCATGTGCACCCTCGTGGGCAAATAACACAAAATTCTCCAAAGCCTGAGGAATTTTGTGAATCGCTCCTTTTGTGAGATGCCATCGTAATAAGTAAATAAATGTATATAGATTTGAAAATCAAGGCAGAATTTTTTCGCTGAAATACTTAATTATTTCTGCACTAATATGTTTTGCTGTTGTATTGATTTTCATGATCGGATTCTTTGATATCATTAGACCCAATATTGATAATTAGTTTATTTGTCAAACCCGGGTTTGCCGTTAACCGCAGTTTACAGAAGATCTTAATTAATAATTTAATCGAGCCTTAGTCCTCACTTCATTAAAGTTATGCAGTGTATAGTCATTGAACTGAAAAGAACACAGGGAGCGCATCGCGGGTCTTATTGAAGTTATGTATTCATTTCAATGAAGTTTGTGGAAGCATATGTGTAGGATGTGGGCGATACATGGGGGTGGGGGGGGGGGGCAGTTGGGTAAATTATAAACGTAAGTTGGGAAAAAAGATGGGGAAGTAAATTTAAGAGCAAGAAATATGTAAGATAATAGTCGAATTCCAGAAATGTCAACCCCTTCCAAATTTTTCCCAACGCTCATCCCCCCGTCGACAATAATTTTGGGAATTTTACAATTTTTTGAAGATCTTTATCAAGGCAGAAATAATCTTTGATTGTATAACAATTTTTTACCAATAGGATTTGGTCAAACGTATGAAGTTGTCCTTCAGTAGCATTGTAATAACGTGTCGTGTTTGTGTTCAAATGAGACAGACGTACTGCTACTTGTATATCTTTATTAAAAGGCATCTAGTTAAAAAGTTTAAGAATCCGATTATGTCGTAGACGACGAAAGGTCAGACTTTCAGGATTTTGTTAGGCTATATTTTATATGTCTTACTCTCAAACTTTTTAACTAGATGCCTTTTAATAAAGATGTACACAGTAGCATTTTAACACAAACACCACACGGTAATAAGATTTGTCATTATTGTAAAGTTGAAATATAGTGTAAATTCGAATCCGACTGGCGACATGATGGTGGTAACGCAATCTCTGTCTAAGTTCCCAGTTACACGATATCGAATTCGCTGGTCACAACATCGAATTTTATAATGGTTTCAGGAATGTCTTACCACTTAAAATTGCGATAATATGACAAAACGAAAACTGTTAAAGGGGGAAATTTTGTAGTCAGACATTACTCCTGAACGGTACATGTTGACATGCAGGGACGTCGCGAAGTCATTAACAATTTTCAAAGGTCTGACTCCATCAGATTCGTGATGGAAAAACTGAATGCTAATAAAGAGGTGGGTTTTTTATACAAGGTGAAAAATTTGCGCGAGTCAAAATACTTATTTTTCTTTGCGCTCTTGAGTACTACTATACTTGGTGACAACGTTAAACCAATTTGTAAAACCAACAAGTGACCAACTATTTAGTTAAAATATTTTACATGTTACACCACCGCATCCCCCCCCCCCTCCCCCAGTAGCGACGTTCCTGTATGCTGATGTCGTCAAAAGCGAATCCAGTATCGTGTAACTGGGGCCTGAATTGTGATAGTGCCATGTTAGAAAAATAACGAAATTTCAAAAGCAGCATGGCAACGTTTTCATTCGGTAATATTACTTGCTTTCAGACTAAGTCGAGCGACATGCTGCATGGAATATCCACCCTAACAGAGCCCCGATATATTCTGACAAATCAGGCATGTTGTGGTCTTTGTGATTATCATTCTCAAGGGCCGTCGCTAAGGGGGGGATCTGTGACACCCCCTGAAAACATCTTGTCGGCAAAATGAAGGATTTTGTCGGCGATTTTTACGTACTAGATAAAACATGAGCAGCCGATCTGTATCTGATATACAAACTCGAGCCGAAGGCGAGAGTTTGTATATCAGATACAGATCGGATGCGAATGTTTTATCGTGCTTAAAAAATGACCCATCTTATGAATGCATTGGCGAAGTAATTTTAAAAATAAACATTGTCTAAGCCGAGAAAATCAAAGCTGAAGTTTATGTAAATCAGGACAAATCTTTATTCGATTTACAAACATTGATTAAACATTCATTTCTTTTGTATTTTCCTCGTGAATTATTAATGAATTTTTTAACCTAGTCGGCAAGTTGTTTTCGTAGTCGGCAAAACATGAATTGGCATGGGCGTACCGGAAGGAAAAAATTAGGGGGGCGGAAAGAAAATTGCCCGACTTTTCGGGATTCTGCCCGACTAGTACCAAAATAATTTTTCCGGAAAAATTATTTTGGCGACCTCCCCCCCCCCCCTCTCCCGGTGCCAAAAAATTTCGGTCAGTGTACCATTTTAGGGGTCAAAAAAATTTTCCGGACAACCAATTTTTTCGGAACATAACACAAATTTTCGAAAAATCACAAAATTTGCCAAAAAATTGACTTAATTTTAGACAAAATTGACAGAATTTGTCCCATTTTTTTTTATTGCAAACCAAAATTGCCCGACTGTTGATCGAATATTGCCCAACTGCCCAAAAAACTGGGGGGGCTACCGAAATTTTTTTATTGTGAGGAACCCGGAACCCGGGACCCCCTCCTCCCCGCTCGCAACCCTGAATAATAATTAATGGTTGAAATGTTGTCGGCAAAATTTTAACTTTTGTCGGCAAATGCAATACCAGAGTACACCATAATAAATCTGTTTCATAATCTTTATTGGTGGTTTAAATTACTTTGTGAAACTTGTATAGTAGCTTTTTGCATAAGCACCTAAACTTTGTTTTTTGTTCTTGTGATAATGAACATATGGGATTTTATTCATTTATCTACCGAATTTATTTAGGAAACCAGTTAGCGCCCTCTGCGCAAAATCGTAGGGCCCCCAGGTGATGATACTAGCTTAGCTCATTTTATTTAACTATGCTTAGCTTGAGCCAAA